CCGCCCTGCCATCTGGTTGCCATTCACAATTGATGGGGACGGGGGGTTGGCGGCGCGCGGGGGGGGTGTATTGTGGAACCTGGCCTTGGGGCGGCAAGGAGAGTAAATCCGGCCCTGATGATATGAACTGATAGTCATCAGAACAGGCAGCTTTTTTTTAGTCATCAGCTGTCAAGTTAGCCCCATAACAATTCTAGAATCTATGCCTTAATTGTATACAGGAACTATTTGAATCTCAAAAGCTTTTGTTTCCATTCAAGTCGATGAGAAAGCAAAATCAGTTTAACAGCAGGTCAAGTGCAGGTCAGAGGCACCTGTGAAGGAACTCAAATGGAGCTTGAAATCATCTCAAACTTATCTGGAATGAAAGCTAAATGCAATGGAAACCATGTTGTGTTTTCTTGTCTGTACTGTTATACCCTATACAGCCAAGAGTGCAATGCATTAAACCTAATTTATTGACCCTTAACCTCCCTGGCGGTCTGATTATGCAGGATTTTAGCATGCCAAAGCGGTACATTGTTTCTCATGGCAATTTGTAGTTTTTTATTGTAGGCCTGTAATTCTTAGTATATCTTAGGAATAACTCCCCAGTTCTCAAGTTTTCATGCAGAAAGAACAGTAAAAGTGCAGGCAGGGAACTGGACAAAGCTGTAGGGACAAAATTGAAGTGAAATGGTTTGATACAGAAATGTAATCATAGCAGATTACTTTGTATTCTGTGTATTCTGTGTAAATGTCATGTTTTCCCTTTTGAATTTCCTGCCGGCTCTGTCCCCCGCTGTCACGGCGAAAACAAAACTAAAAGTAAGATGCCGGCATCGGCCGGCCGCATACAGCAGAGGACACCGCGGGCTCGTAGGGACAAGGTAAGTGACACTTTTGTGCAATCCCGAGTGTGGCTCGGGGTTACCGCTCTTGGTACTGAAAATTAACCCCGAGCCACACTCGGGAATACCGCCAGGGAGGTTAAAGTGTATTTCCACTTTTGCAGTCAAATTTAGGAAAACCCCTCTATGTTCCTTATGTTTTCCTATTCACACAGCATACTGAAAAGTAACTTTGAAAAACATTTCTTACCTTTTAGATGTTTTGTTAAATTTGGCAAGATAGCCAATTTGGCTGCGAAAGTGGAAATACACTATAAGGGGGATATGTTCACCCTTCATGAAAGCCCATACAGAGAATTCATTATATATTCTGCTGTAGGTTGGTCTCCTGTACAAATGTGATGTTGATGGTTCTCCTGAGGACTGGTGATTGGTTTTTAGGGGCTGAGCCACCTAACATATCCCACATTCATTCACCAGAACAGAGTCTGGCTTCTGGTTAGGAGATTGCCTTTGTACGCTTCTAACCTAAAAGAGGTAGATATGTTGATGTCACCATGACGCGTTTAAAAAGTAGCTTCTATCGAGGGAATATATTCAGATGTCCTAGGTATACATTGCTCCCTACATGTGTGATCATGCATATGATTAATATAGGTCAGTAGGTCTATGTTATCTGGCTGGTGGCCTTCTGTACAGCTGTTTACAAAACACCATTGTTGGCTTATCCGTTGTTTCATTATGTGCTGCTTGTGACTCCTAATCCTCTTGTGTTTCCCCGGTTACAGCTCTGTCTGATCCAGCTGCCAGGGAAAACTGCATGATGCACCTTCTTCGGTCCTTGCCCGACCCCAACCTCATGACCTTCCTCTTCCTGCTTCAGCACTTGAAAAGGTAACTAGATAAAATGTCAGGCCTTATTAAAAGTGCCAAATAACAGAGATGTCCGTCACAACAATGTCTTTATTTCTCGTGTAACAATCTCTTAACTTCGATCTACTGAAACTGAAACATGTTCAAGTAAATGTAACTAACATATTGGTTTATCTGATGATATCTGGGCTCTTAGTGCAGCTATAGGTGTAATGTTGGGTAGGGCAGCCATAGAACCTCTGCCAGGTTTTCTTGCTGTCTGTGTCCCTGATAAGTCTGTTCTTCCTTTATATTTTTCCTGGTGATCAATGTCACAGAGACCAAAAAGTGATGGGAAATCTAACTTGTACCGGTGACAACTGTCTGAGAGGAATTCTCGCTTAGTACTTTTAGGGTCTCTTGGTGTGAAATATGGTCATAGCCATTGTATTCCTTTTGCAATGGTATATTTATAGTAAAGGTTAAAATAAATGGAGAAACCTTTTTCGATACCCATTAGCCACATAATTTTCCAACTGTGTGTCTTTAGTCCCATAGATCAGTCAGTGATTAAGTGTCTTTCTCTGGACTACAAATGTAAACATGTATCAAGGTGTGCAGGTTTTATGAAAATGCTGAAATTTGTACCTGAATTCAAAGCAAATATGATTTATCCTGCTGCTTTATGTACAACCTATCAGCCACAGATGAAGTGCAATCACTTTCATGTCTATTTTGGTTTAGTATATCTCACACACACACTGCTTGTGTATAGGAACCATGAAGAACAGGCAGTGTAGCCCCTTGTAATCTTACTAAGCTAGGGGTTTACCAAGTTACATAAAGTAGAGTTTACCTTAGCTAGTAGTAGTTAGTCACATGCAACTGATTTGTTCCGTAATACTTTTTGTAGCTTCTCCAAGCCACTCCTTCAGTTATAATGAGGAAAATACCACCAGCATTCATATCCACAGAGGTAGCACAGGCACCTTAAAGTGTGAAAGTTGTGGCCCCACCCTGTTTTTATTACAGGGGCCAGGAACGTATTATTCCTTCGTTTTGCACTTCTGAAGATATAAATTGTTGTCAAAACACTGGGGTAGAGATGTTAAAACCGCATTATATGTGAAAGACAGATGGGGTGTAAAAGGCCCCCCACACCTGTTCATGGATGGTTCCAGTTTGACGTTGATGTCTCTTGCGAATGAGTTGTCCTCCCTGCCTAAATTGTACACCTCACGGTCCCCAAAAGAATGTACTTTTTCCTTATGGTGTATGAAATTGCTGAGTCTTGACTTGTACAGCCTCCTATGCCGGGCTCTTCATTTGTTGAAAGATTTTGTCTCCCCAGTGTGCAGTTCTTTGCATTTCTCACCACATTGCACTACAAATACCAAGTTTACTTTGCTTGTGTTTGGATGTTGGGTCTTTTGAATGTACACGCTTCTGTGTCAGTGTATTGCTGGGCTTAAAAGGAATGACTATTACTCCGAGTGTTCTGCTTCTCCCCTCTGCTCGATGGTCGTGTGTTATTGCTTGAATGTGTTAATGAAAGCCCAGTCTGGGTGGCCGCAGAACTCCTGAGACGTCTGTGCTTGTTACTACGTCACTCCGATATTCTAATAACCCCCAGTTTGTGTTTGATGGGAGGTGGGAGTGTAAAACCAGATACTGATCTGTGTGTTGGGTTACCTGTAGACCTCAGTGTCGAAGTCATCCCTCTCCTTAACATGTAACAGACAGTTCAGAAAGGGTCGTTTGTTATGATGTGCCTTTTTCTGTGTAAACTTGGTGTTATTTCCATGAAAGTGTTTGGCTCTTTTTTCCATTCCCTCCTCCTGGTACGGGTGATCCCATAGCACGACCATGTTTGTGTCTGTAGGAGTTATCATTGAAATAGGTAGTGTTGAGGCAAAGGTCCAATAAAGGAACTCGCTTGGTTTGGCTTTAGTTCTGTTCTACTGTTAAGAGTCTCTTATCTTGTTTCAGATGTGTCCTTACAGTCTCAGTAGCATCTACAGTTGGTGTTTACAAGTGAAAAGGGATGTGACGACATAAAGCACCATTGTCTTCTGGTTCTAACTTTAGTCTGCGTACCTTCTTGAAAAATTCTTTGGTGCTCGGAATATGGTGCACCGTGTTGCCAACTAACGGTGACAGGATAACTAGTCCAGATACTTAGCAATGTTATATGTGACATCAACTCTGTCACATGTTACAGAGTTGATGCTGATGACAGCCTTAGAGGGGATCCTTTCCTGTGTATCTTAGGGAGTCAGTACTGGCATGGTGTAGCTCCCTTGGGATAAGGACAGTGGTACAAGGTCAGATCAATGGCTTTTTACATTTTTAGCTGCTGTAAACAGCCCATCAACGTTTTCTTGTAACAGCTAGTGGGATTCCTCTTTAGTGACTCATAAATATTGGCATCCTCAGTGATGCCAACATTTATGAGTCACCGAAGAGGAAACCCACTAGCTGTTACAAGAAAAAGTTGATATCATCCATGCAATCCCACCCATCATGAACACATCTAATTACTATTGTAAGGTTACCACTTTTCTCAGTAAGAGTGGTAACCTTAGAATGGTAATTGGATGTATTCATGATCACGGTGCATCTCCCCTCGTCTGCTGGCAGGATAGTAAATCTCGGATCCCCACTAAGTGATGTAAGAGTTGGAAGGAGGTGTTTCATTTTTCAGTTGTTTACAGATACTTATACTGCACTCAACATTGTGCGCTGCACTTCACATATCGTACAATCACATTAGTCCCTGCCCTCAAAGAGCTAACAGTTTAATGTTCCCTACCTCACATGTTGTCAGTGCTACTTATGTGGATATAAATGCTTAATATAATATATAATCGCGGTACTTGGGCTTTGCAGCTTTCAGATTCCGTTAGCTGGCATGCCGCCATACTTTGTACTCTGTCATGGATATTACCTGGATACAAAGTATGGTTGGTTACAGCTACAGAACACACATGACTCCTTAGTTATTAATATCTTTTAAGTTAGTTTTGCATGAGAACTGGGACAAACGTTTAGAGGAAAATTCAAGTTTTCCATCACAGAGTCGGGTAGTCGCCAGCTCCCACATCTGCTTTTCTGGAGGGTGACCAGTTCTGGAAGGAAAGTGAGGGGAGGGAATACACAGCAGCTGTTTTTCTCATACCAGCAGCTCCGCTCTTGTGTGGCAGAGCTTTAAAGGGGACAACATATGTTGGTGGGAATTTACATTGTGATTCAGCAAGTGTCCTGGCAGAAAATCCTTAGATATAACAGTTCCATAACACATCACCATTTATTCAGCTCTAAAGCCTGATGGATTATTAGCACATAAATGTGGAATATTTTTTTCAACAAGAACCAGTGTTACAGTGCCAGGTCATAGTAAATATCTTAGTAATATGGCCTGACTTTTACTGGTAATTAGACCTACAAGAGAGCTCCTGTGGCTGATAATGACTGTAATACCCCCTAAGGAGGTAGTAGGTTTCTCCCAATGGCTGCATGAGGTTCTGTGTTTGTGTCCTGTATTGTTTCCATAGTAAAAGGAAAACTTATATCCAACAATGATTTACTGAACCTAGCTATAGTTCTGCAAATCACATTACATGCCGCTCTTTGTTGTGTATAAACTGTTCTGTTACTAAACCTCAACACCTCATTATGTCAGCGGGTTCCTAAAGGTGATTGTGAGTTTTTCAAATGACCCTATTGCTCGTGGTATATCTCTGCAGAGGTAGTTTTGTAGTTTAACAATCAAATATATACCAATAGAGCCGGAGACTGTGGAAGTTGGACAGAGCACCCACAGCTAGATAATGGTTCATGGAAATTAACTCTGTCATTTTCTCTGCTTCCATTGTTTTATTAAAGAGGAGTACACGAAATGCTACCAGCCATGGGGCGCATGGATAAACTATGTTAAAACCGATCATTATTCACAAAGAATCGAATTTTGTGCCGCTATTTATGTAATATGTTGTAACACAATTGCATTGTTGTACTTCTTTTTTTGCACCGTGCACTGATGACTTGTATTACAATTTCTGATTTTGCTGCATAGTAAGACTTGTTGTCTTTGTTTACTTTTCCAGGGTTGCTGAGAAAGAACCAATCAACAAGATGTCACTCCATAATTTAGCCACCGTCTTTGGGCCAACATTACTGAGGCCATCTGAGGTGGAGAGTAAAGTGCACACGAATCTGGCGTCCGATATCTGGTCACATGACGTGATGGCACAGGTAAGGAAAAGGGCTTCCTGGCACAAACCAACTTTTTGATAGACTTGATGGCTAACTGTCTTAAAGTAAACTTGTCATGAGAAAATATGGAGACTCTTACTGACCTCTGTTTGGCTTTAGTACTGTCTGAGTCACTGACAACAAACAAGTGTGCATCTCAGGAATGTCAAAAATCAGAAACTATATGTCTGCATACTTGTTCCAGGTCAGTGGCTAAATTACTGAGGAAAGATGGTTAGCCTGACAGCCAGGAGACTGGTATATATGAGAAAAGAAGGCGTTGGCAGCCTCCATGTTCATGTCTCCTGACAAGTTTAATTTAAAGCTAAACGCTGGGCATAAAAACTTTAAATGTATTGATCGATAACCCCATAGGATAGCAGTCCACTTTGTGTGCAAATGTATTGACATCACAGCCTGGGAACGAGCATGTGGCAGCCTCCACTTTTCTCTAATGACAGGTTTGCTTTAAGAAAATTAATGAGGTGACAGATCTGCCATGAGTTGCAATGCCTTAAAGTGACATTAAACCCTCAGATTTTTTAACATAAACCAATACTGTAATGTGCGCCTTACTGTAATCCATGGTTGTTTCCCTTCTCTTTGCTGCTCTTCCTTTTAAATCCTCATGTGTTCTCATGCTGGGGGAGAACTTCCCTTTGCAGCTGAGTGCCTCTTCCTGTAGCGCTGGCTCAGGTTGCAAACCTACACACAGACACCATGTATCCATTCCAGAGACAAGGCAGTCTGCTGCAAAACAGAAGTTCTGCCCAGCATGAGAAGAGATACAGATTTAAAAGGAAGAGTAGCAAAGAGAAGGGAAACTATCATGGATTACAGTAAGGCGCACATTACAGTATTGTTTTATGTTAAAAAATCTGAGGGTTTAATGTCACTTTAATCTTTCTGCTTGACATGAATTATGGAAGCAGTGCCTACATGGTGCAAAGCTTTATAGCAGAAGGGACAATTGGGTGTAGAGATCTTTAAATATAAATACTGATCATTTTTCAGTAAGAATCCCAATTATCACATGAGTTCATCACATCTGGAAATGCATGGCCATCCTAAAACTAAACTATGTCATGGATTCCTCCTTCTGTCCCATGTAAAAGTACCTGGATATTGAGGCTGTTGGAAATTCTTACTTGCTCCCTCTTTCATAGCAAATCTCAGGATAGCAGCTGTAAAACTCCAATGTGCCCACCTTACCTTTCTACATCCCTCCTTTCCCATTGCCTGGACTTTATTTTTTCTATTGGCTGACATTAACTAGTAAAAACAAATGAATTCCAGCCAATCAGGGAAGTAGGAATGATGTCATTGTTTCCAGACAGTCCTGAGTTTTCACAGCTGCTGTGGAGGGATTGCTAGAGAACTGTGAGAGGTAGAAACGCATAGCTTACTTACAAGAAATATTCTCTGGGTGGGATGGTAGGAGGAATGGCATGGGTCACTTTAATCAATAGACATTTAGTTTTAATGCAACCCATAATATACCTACCTTCTCAGTATGTTAGTAACTGGGACATTACTCCATGTTCACTCTTCCTGCTCCCATTGGCAATGTTAATATGAATTATAATAAACTGTTTCGCTGCGTTTTGCCTTCAGTGCGTTTAAGCCAAGCTTCATTGTTAACTGCTCTGTGTACTTTTTTGTCATTCAATCATATTCTGATACATTTGCATTACGGCAAATAATGTTTCCTTTCTCTCCCATCCAAGGTGCAGGTTCTGCTCTATTACCTACAGCACCAACCAATCAGCTTCTCTGAGTTGAAGAGGAACACTCTGTACTACTCTACAGATGTGTGAGCATGCACTTCTGCCATCCAGGAGAAGACAGGGCGGATCAGCTCCTCTCTGTAAATTAGGCAAGAGACAGTGTGAGGAGAGCCAAGTAGTTGGATGTCGAAACCCAGAGCGTCCCTTAACTTGCTCTTGTTCAGTTCTTGAATTATTTTGTACAGAAGTGGAAACGATGAACCAGCACTGTGCTCCCCGTGTAACAAGCTGTATTTTGTATATTGGTGTTCAGGCATTATTTTATGTAGGAGCCAGAAGCGTAGGTGGAGCAAGCTTCGGAGAGCGTTCTTTGTCCTCCACACTCCTCAGTGTGTGAGAACTTTAACAAACTTTCCGTAACTCCTCTGACCTTAAAGGTCTTTTATCCTGTCATATTCTTGTGCTGGAGACTGCAGCCTTCCCTGTATCCTTCCTCACCTTGGGGACCACAGGGGCCAAACTCTGCTCATGCCCCCTGGACAATTTCACAGACAGTTCTGCCATGTTTTGCCAGGCACAGACTCACAGAATGTGAGTGGACATTCAGTCTTTACATTTTTAAATATAATTAGTTGCCATGATGTTCTCTTCTTCTCTTGTCCTTCTATTGTGAATGAAAGTGCTTCTTGGTTCTCTTTTATTTACTTCCCCTGGTGGAGCTGTCACTTGTGATTTTGCTGCTTTGAGAAGGTGGTACGTTTCTGTTACTGCGCTTGGCTTGGTGAAATGACTGGTATATGGACTCTTCAGCACTTGGAGAAATGTATCCTTGTTGGACCAAACATTCAGTCCAAGGAGACCAGTTGTCCCGACGAAATCAAAACACATCCAAGTCTCTGCAGATATTACATTTAAATATATTGACCGTTTAAATTATAAAGACAAGTGGTCATCACAATGCAATGTGTTTGCTATATTCTTGTTCCCTTGATGAATTGTCCTGAATCACCCTTATTCATAGATCCTTACACATTTTGATGGCATAGCTTCAATCTCTAGTCAGTATACTGTACATGAGCCAACTAATTCATTGCAGCGTCAGTCCTATACTAATGTAGTAGCACACTGGTTTCTTTGTAGCTGGGGCTTTCCTGCTGAGATTTAAAGGGCAGCCCACTCAAAACATATATATCCCAATTGTGCTTGAGTGCTGATGGGCTGAACCACCCACTGGCCTTCTGGCTTTGTTGTGGACAGGTGGCCAGGAAGGTTGGTGCAGATATCTAGGCTTTGGTTGGACTGAAACTTCAAATGTGTTTGTGAAGATAAGGCAACACTTCAGGGGAACTAAAGTGTATTTGCAGTACCTACATGTTTCAAAGTATCGAAATGTATACCTGATTTGATTTGAGGTTCACATTTTAACCTGCTGCCATTACTAACCATACCATACTGCCATTACTGTCTTAAAGGAGAACTATGAGGTGAGTGCTTTTCACCCACCTCATAGTTCTAGCCGACCTGTGACAATGAGACTGTCACAGGTCGGCTCAGTAGATCAGGAGGGGAGCGAACACATACCGGCGTTCGCTCACCTCTCGATCCTGTCACGGCTCTCTGCCGTGACAGGGGGAGGGGCTGGATTCCCCCCTCCGATCCGATCTGCCAGCGCTGACTGGCGGAACGGACGGGTACAGCTGGCTCTGCCTCTAGATAGGCAGAGCCAGCTGTCAGTCACGCAGCTGGGCGGATCCAGACATAATTGTCGGCATCCGCTTCAGCTGCGGCATCTTAGTATACCACGAGCAGCAGCTCGCGGTATACTGCGGCGTCTCAGTATACCGCGAGCTACAGCTCGCGGTATACTGAACCTAGGGTGACGGGAGGATGCTAGTTTGTGTCCTCCCGTTACCTTAAGGAGAACTATGGGGAAAAGCCTTAACCCCATAGTTCTCCTTTAAGCATACAGAGAGGTAGATTCTCCCTCTTGTAGCTATTTATGTATCAGGCAGAGTCAGTCAGTCCCTGATTGACAAATGTTGACACATACAGAGTGCATTATCTTCTATCAGACAGGACTCTCTGGTAGACTTGCATTGAGGCAGTGAAAGAGTTAAACACATCTTCTCTGCTGCACTACTTAAGCTTACACCAGTAGAATGTCATGTTCAGAACATTTGTTCGATTTTCAGTGGGGTCAAATCGATGATCGTTTTCAGCCATAGTGATGAAAGAAAATGGAAGGAGCAGCATGGAAGTTTTGGTAAATCTGTCTGCCTGGTGTACACACTGAACACGGCTTTTACCTTCTTACACACACCCGATAAGATTATTTACAGCAAACAGATCATTATATGTCTGATACAATGAACGGATCCCTGTGGACGGGTGGTAAGATGGTGTTCTAGTTATTATGGCTGTCATAGCACACAGTGCTGAGACCACTCACAAGCTTTTGTTTTATCTCCTTTGTATTTTTACAGAGATTAGGAAAACAGCAGAAATCCAATGCTGAAATGTTCTGTCGCATGTTATAACCTGATACTCTTTAGATGTACCAATAACATTGTAGTGGAAGGGTCTATCTGATTGGCTATATATTGATCGGATTATTTAGGTAGACTCCTGCTCTACATACTTGATGGGACATCTAGAGGATATTTACAGGGATTTTACAGAAAGTTCTGCTGACACCTGTAGTGGAAAAGTAGAGCCAAATATAAATCTTTCCTTTCTGTCACGTGTTTGATGACATTGGACCGGCTCCACTGACTGTTCTATTGCTGTGTAAACTCTCCGGTGAATTGGTTATCCAGACAAAGGCCGTGGTTGACCTCTCCACAAAGCTCTTTTGTTATCTATTGTCTTCTGTACTTTTGAATGGTTGACATTTTAAATGAAAATATATATTTATAAGTGTATGTGTTTTGCAGCTTGCCTTGCAGATCAGAAAGGAAGACCTTGTCATTGGGAAGTCCTGTGTAGACCAGCAAAGATATGCTATAGCAGGCACCAACTGATGCCAATACTTACCCTCTGCTTGTATACCCGAGCTGCAGTGATTCCTTGAAGCCGCATGTTGGGGGTGCCCAGAATGGAAGTACCGATGCAATATGGAGGCCCTCACATTCCATGAGGCTTGCTGGCACCATGCAGTAATCCGCAGAGACTTCTATATTGTTTTCGGGGTTATCTGACTGATCAGTGTTTGTAGACTATTCACACCCGAGGTCAGGAGTTTCAAGGCAAGCTGAAATGAAGCTTGGCAAGCAGAGGGCATACACTGCCACTTAATGATCACTTCAATGACCTGGTTTATACAAGACTTCCTAATCACAGGTTACTCCACATTAATATTGTGCTTTCATGTATACAACCTTCTACATGATCTCTTTTTTTACTGTTTTTGTTAAAGTATTGGAAAGGTAGGTGGCTCTTCGTTAGATATGGACATTACCAACATGAAAATGTCTCCATTGCAATTCAGTCGTTTCCTCCATTTCAATGTTTAAACATATCGCCATTACAGACTGGAAGATAGAAAGTAAATCTCATCCAGTCCAGTGCAGATTAGAAGTCATCTCTCATTTTTCCTTTGGCCTTATAATCAGTGAGATTGATTTAGTAAAGGGATATAGTCTAGCAAAGTGAATTTTCACTGTTCAGGGAAATTTTCCCTCAGCTTAGTGACATGAGGCTCTGCTGACTTGTATCATCCAATCATGTGCAAACAAAAATCCATTTTCTTTTATGTCTTTGCACGTGATTGGGTATTCTGTATATTTTTACCATAGTCACTAAGAGAAAGGGAATCTTCCCTTGCAATGTGAACGTGCTCTACTCCTTTAGTGAATCAACCTCAATGCATCCGTACGGACCCATCTGCAGGAATTTTCCATACTGGTGTGATAAACTTCAATTGACGAAGGAGTCACATGTGACCGGTGCTCATTTTAGACACTGCCAGGGATTTGTATTTTTTGTGCCACATTTTCTGACCATTAGATGGGAGAATTCAATAAAGCTCCAAGTTTCTTCATTGTCTCAGCTAGTCACAGTGTATATGTACTAAACATGATTAATTCCAAATCATCCCTGTACATGGAAACGTCACACTGACAATACTTTAATTTTTTGTAGTGTCCCCTTCAATGTAGAAAAACATTTTTGGGATCCGTCCAATATATTAGAATTTTTTAACTTATCTGTTTACTATAGGATGGAAGTGATGGTCATGTATGTCAGTCATGTGACTCATTCCAGCTTTCTCATGAATAAAACTAGGCAGAGCTCCAAGGATGGTAGAAATGATGGTGCTCCGTGCCAGGATCCCTCTCTACTCTGTACACTCTGAATGAAGCACAACACACTACAGTGTTTCCTTGTCAAGTTTTAGGGTTCCCCTCTATTCAGTAACCCCCCAGACAGAAGACCTGTGCCACACCCAGCTACTCATTTTATTCATTGATCTGCAAATTCCATATTATTCAGGCTGAGTTTGTTTAGTGAACAGTACCCCTTAAAGCTAAAGTCCAGAGACATATTTGTTTCACATGCCCAAAGGTTTGTAATTCTGTTCAGGCAGCCTTGTAACCCAGATATCCCTAGCTACACCACATACACAGGGCAATGACTGCAGTTTTGCAAATACAACTTCATCACCAACCTGCCTGCAGTCTGATGTATAGACAATGAAGGAGTGGCAGCACATTAAGGTCATCATTCTCCTACTGTCAGCATGCTCCCAGTGTGGACTAACAGCACTGTACAATGCAGTAGTGTGCTGACCTAGACTCACAGTGCAGCTTTCATCTCTTCTATGTATATTCTTTCTAGGCAGGAGAATACAGGATGCTGATATAAAGACCGAGGCAGGCACTTATGCTAGCTGAATTGAAAGAACAGATCATTGTATTAGATGGTGATCTGTGTGGAGTTCATCTTTCATTATTTTGACAGCGAGTTGAGTGTTTCCAAATAAGGCATTCAGAAGAGTTAATATGTTACTGGAAACGACGCAGTGTTCTGTTAGAGCGGAATATGGATGCTGGTAAATACATCAGCAGTTTCCGGCTATAGTAATCTGAACCAACTGCTGTCCAGTAGCCAGTTTACTGCATTGTGGAGGTGGCAGAGTCTGTACAATCACTTAGTCAGTGAAAGAGGAGATTGAACCATAACTCACAGCGAAATGGGAGGAAACATTCCACCCCCCCTCTCCTGTTCTCTATGAACTACCTGACAGGGGCTCCGGAATTATTTCTTATTGCAGTTTACAGAACAGATCATAATCACCGTGCAATATAACAGATGAGCTTCTCCCAAATCTACACTAGTGCTACTGGGAGGAGTAAGGATTGTGGAAGTCCCCTACATTTGGTGCTGAAGGTTAACCATCTATAGGAACATCTTCTGCATGTAACACTTCTCATGTAGGTGGGGACGAGCAGATGCTCCCCTAAGTACAGGAAGAGCTACATGGACTGCTTTGATCTCATGCTGCTAAGAGAATGGAAGAACCTCTGCTGAGGGTGATTAACCTACTTGTTGGCAAGTTCTTATTTCATTCATTTCAGTTGTTTTGCTGCAAATGAGGTTACTGCTAACCAGTGGTTATTTCCCTTTCACATACCGATAGATGGAAGGTCAATTGCAGATCAGGACATCATTTTATGGCAATGGCTGGGGGAACAGGCAGGATGGAAACATGGCCAACTTACCCCTGAGATGAGCAGGATCTACAAGCTATCCCCTGCTCTCTTTAGTGACATGGACAGGAATCAAGCCCATCCAGATATCTGCTACGGGCAGCCCTGGTAGCATGATATTGAACTAATCTATAAAGAGTTTAGATGCCAAGTGTTTAGATTGATGAGAGGTTTAAATGCAACGGTTAAAAAAAAAAAAAAAAGATCTTCCCGTCTCCTCATATTGCAGTGGGAATGGTGCTGTTCTGCCCCGACCTCAAAGGACATGATAAGTAAGGGTTACCAAGC